TCCTGCTGTTCGAAACTTCTTCGACGTCGTGACTTTAGCGAACAGATCGACAGCCACAAGCCACAATCCAGTCCACACTCTCACCGCTATTTGTTTCATGGTATATTTTAGTATTAATTATCCATATAGGTCCTCCAAGTAACCTCCTTGTTCAAGGTTTTTCGACCTAAACCTTGTATTCATTCTCCAGATCCCAAATCCGTGCTACATGTCCAGTTCATATGATCCTCCTTGACTTGATCACCTCAATAATATCTGGTGTTTCACAATAAAATAGATGAAAAAGCAATTCTAAAAAATATATATAAAGTCTTCAATGGGGTTTGATATTTCATACTGCAGTAAAAAAAAAGGCTGTCAATTTTTACATTCTTTTCAGAGTTGACAGTGGGAAACCCGCAACGATAAGGCGTCACGAACAAAGCGTGTCAGTGGTTAATACTAGTTGAGTAGTTTTTTTTTAATTATTTCAGTTTGCTGTAACTGGAGCAGCAATTCACTTTGGCAAAATGTCGCAGGCACTTTCAACACGCATTCGCTTTGTCTGTCTGTTCCAACTGACGAATAGGTGACAAAGTACAATGTATCATTCCGGTGCCTAATAAAATTTATCACACTACTACGTTACTGTCGAATAAAAAAACTGGCTGTATTTCCAGATTGATTATACCGCTAGGTATGTTTTATTTTAACCCATTCAGTTTTCCATAACTTTTATAAAGAATGGAGAAAAATTGTGACGAAACTCAGGAAGCTCAAAATTGTGCACTGCATTTATTCAATGGTGACGTCCTGTTGGATATTTACAATTGTCCTATAGTCACGTGTCTAAACCTTTTTCACATTAACGAGGTCTGCTATAGCATAAACCATGTAACTAAGGCGTTACTTACTGATAAAAAAAGGCGATTCAAATGCTGTATGCTATGTTCTTACGTAAGGATTTCACTGTCCGAATGCGTGGGGGCGGTGTTGGGGTGGTTGTTGTTGTTGTGGATGAAGAATTGCCTGATTTATGACGCGCGAGTGTTTGGGGATCGTTCTCAGATAGGAAGCAAGTTTATGAGGAGCCATCTAACACATAGTCAAGTTACTTAGGCTCTTCTGACATAAACATGCTTCCGTAAGCTGTTTATCCCTTTTTGTACGGGACGGGCCAAGATATTATTTATTTCTCTCCACATCATAACACTTAAAAATTTTAATAGCCTGCTCTCAAGTGTGCATGTTAGCAACTACTTCTGCCACAATAATACTGGCTCCATTAAGCTCTATAACCTTTTAATTTGAAACCCCTTTAAATACTGTTAACATTTAACTGAAGAAAAAAGTAATTCCTGCATTATGCAATGTTGTTTTGTAGTCTGACTTGAAACAAGCCCGAGGTTAGATCCGTGATTTCTGAACAATACCATTACTGTAATTTCTTTGCAAGCCGATATAGGCCAAATACTTCCCGAGGCATCTTGCTATTTCATCTGGCATCAATAACCCACTTGGCTCTGTGGACTATATATTTTTAACGCTATAAGTACCATATAATGAAGGAAAATAAAATTCAACTGACAAATTAATGTCAGTCTCCCATACGCGTTAACATCTGTAACCTTCGGATGGTCCGGCAGATTGTGCGATCGTACCAATGGGTTGTGTGACTTTAGGAAACTTAAACTCCATAAATTTTTACCATGTCTAATGTTGCCAAAGTTGGGCTTATGGATATGCGGCGACAGAAACAGCTCTTCTTTTGACCTGTTCTCTTTTAGTCAGGCAGAACTCCCAAATTTGAAAATAATGATTAGTATGATAAGCATTTGTAAAAACTGAAAAGTTTTGGTGGGCGGTATCGCTTCTGACGAACAGTAGGAAGCCAAACAGCATTCGTTTGACAAATCTTAATATAGGCCTCCAATATCAATTTAATCTAAATACGTTGTAAATTTTAGAAGCGAGACGTGATGACGGATGGATGCAGAAACACGGCCTGTCCATTACGCACACCCTGCAAATATGGCATAGACATGGGTACTGTCCAATAATACACGAATCGTGGCAGGTAGCCAACGCTTGAATGAACTGAGCAGACATGTGTGTGGATGCACTTCTCTGTAGAGTCTGTTTACACTCGGGAGTTACTCCTTTCAAATTTTTTCCGGATTACTGGTTATCTTGAAATTTTTCGTGCTTTTTTCTCAATCCTTCTACGTGAATGTTGCGATATCTGTCTACGAGTTGAATAAGGATGTGGGTATTCTCATGCCTGGTAGATAGGGATTTGGAATTAGCCGGCTGTGGCAATGGAACCTTTGTAGTTGTAACGGCGCCCATGGATATAGGTTACAGTTGTTGACAGGCTGCAGGGCCTGAGGAATGGAAAAGTACGAGTACTTTTATTTTGGTTTATTTAATTACGCAGAGTCGAACGACAGGATGATTGAATAATAATTAATTGGAAATTATATGAAAGCTGTCAGAGCGTAATTTAAGGTACTATCCCAATGTTTGTCTGAGCGGAGTGAGGAAAACCACGATGAAGCTTCGGGCAGAAATTTTAAGTCTGGACTTCCTGGATACAAATCAGGAAATCTAACCCCTCGGTAGGAATGCTGGTATTCTGACAATGGATCCTTTGCATTGTGTTGCTAATTACAACCACAAACTATTATGGTAAATGATAATGATAATGGCAGCTAGTTTCCCCACCCTCAAGCTTCTCAAGTCCAATATAACTGAACGTAATTACGAGTTACTCTATGATCACATTTCGGATTCCACCTGTACGTAGTACAGATAATTTTAGTTAAGTTAGAAGTTTAATCAACTTTAAGGGAAAACGTTGGTATATCTCACTGCTAGTTATCCAAATATGTCTATTAAAATGTGGAAAATGTATAGTTTGGTATAGTTACTACGATAAGGAATAGAAGGCCGGTAGGGGTGGAAAAAAATTTCTTCGCTCCCAGGTATAGAAATGCTCTGTGTACCACGCAACCTAGTGTCCAGCGATGTACCGGGAAATATTTCCCTCTTGGTAATGCCTTGTCCTTCCCAGGACATGACGTTTAACACTAACCTCAATCTAGCGCCGAGGTTAAGAATGTGAGGAGCTGTACATCTACTTGATCCATTATTCTTAATTAAGCACCAGGGACATCTTTACCTTTAAATGCAAAACTTTACCGACAATTTGAGACGTGATATTTTAAAAGACATTGAATTAGTAAGTGAAAATTGTATCTAAAACATTTTAAGAGGGCCATCCTAATGCGTGTCAGATGTGCCATTGCTTTTAAAGACAACACATAATGTAAATGCTCGTGTCAAATATTTTACTGTGGTACGAATTGGGATCGAAGGAGCTTATACCTTTTTCAATCTTGTCAGAGAGCATTTCGAAAGAAACTTTCTAATGTACAGTACTGACAGATGAAGAGTGACCCTGATCGGGTTAACGCCAACGAGTGTGGCTGTAAGAGGGAACAAGGCGACAATGAAATTTCCTTCAAACACTACACAGCACCTCAACGCCAGGCGCGTCTATCTTATTGACAATTAAGTTAAATCTCTCTCTACGTCTTTGTAACCTAAAAGGATTTCTTGTCCAGTGGTTCAACCTACAAGCTGCCAACTTAACGAAACTAAAAGAAAGAGAAGGTTGCCGCTGAGTGGTTATCACTCCTGCTTCATATTCGGTATATTCCCGGTCAAGAACCCGGGTTATCCTGACTCAGATGCTCGTAGTATCGTGCAGTCCCACCAGAAAAAATACCGGGATATTATCTAAAGATAAGTCACGACCACTTCCTTCAATATCCTCTTCAGTTCGTTATTCATTCATTGACTAACCTAACATTCGACGCTACATAGTCTGACTACTGGCAGCGTCGTTAAATGAGCCATACATTGTGAAAGCTTATAAAATGGTATTTCGTTCTTAGTGCGTTACGCAGGATGTTCAGATGCATCTCAAGTAACGCAGGATAACAGACATCCAGCTCCTCCACAGCGGAACATCTCCCGCGTGCTCAGTAACTCTCACGTTTTCAATATATACCCTGCACAGTGTCTATTAGAGTCAATATTCTGTCATCTACCTGTAGGCTATAAGATGATTCAATCTTAGAAAGATGCTTTTGTATAATAAGAATCTAATCATTTAAAAGTCATCCCAGGCTTCCTCCAGAAGCTGAGAAAAACCACGACTAACCTCAGACATGATAGCTTGTGCTTGGACCGAGACTGGAACCGCGTATTTCTCACATAAGATAATATAATGACACCGAAACACCAAACATTTCAGTGATTATTACTTTATTAAAGGAACGCAACTGAAGTTAGGCAGTATCTCTGAAATAACTTCATGTATTACAGACACGAGCTCACTAACAACTAATTAAGTTGTACTAGTTACAGACATCACATTGCTTTAAGTAAAAAATTATTCTTACGCTTATTTAGTTAAGTATCTACCGCAAGAAAAATATGTTTCAAGTGAAAGTTGATATTAATAGTGTCCATCTTATATGTAACGGGATAAACGTTGAACGATCACTAGTGTTCCATAAAAATAGCTGATAAAACAAAACATTGGATTCCTGTAACTAAGGGACAGATGAGCCAAATTTGGTTTATCCTAAAAGTTTTTAGTATCCTATGCAAAATCAAAACATCCTTTCAGCAGCTTCGGAGATGAAAAATGTGGATGGCATGACGGAACCTTCACATTATGTGTTCATTGTATACCTTTCATTCAAATAAAGTGCACAGATTAGCAAAGCATAAATGTTGGGCTAAGTATAGTTAACTGTTTTCCTCTGTAAAGGCTCTAATCCTTGCATCAGACTCAGGACTGCCTGAGTGGAGCCCTAACTGCTGTCTACACCGGTAAATGCGTCGTATGGACTAACATTGCACAACGTCAACCCCAAATACGGGTAATAGCATCACTACGATGCAGAGACTTCGCATATCACCATATGAACTTTCAGTTAGATTCTTACAGTTTCTCTCGTGTTCCGCAGGGGGATGCTACCCTTCCACCAGTTCATCATTGGAGGTGGTCTCGCTCCCACAGCTTCGCAGTCCAACTCGTACGTATTGTCGGCTGAGAGGGGATGGTTTTCTCCCTGAAGTCTAACCCACAGAGGTCGAACTGTAACATAAAAATATATGAATTATTTATACAATGTTGAATTGTGTACTTATTTCTGAATATCTGAGCATTAAAACACGCGGATTTCTTAAGTTTTGTCAGTATTACGACACTATTTTATCGACCTGATGCTTTTATGCTCTGGTCTGAAAATTAGCAACAAAGAAATAGCAAGAATTGCACACAGTGACACGAAAATAAGTTGCAATAACATATTTAAAGGAGACAGGCCTAAGCGCACTGAAAAGAGCAGAGGAAGTTTAAAATATGAAGAATGCTAAAAATAAATACCTTTCCTGGAATGACCATGGAAAGAAAGTTGGGGGGAGAATAACTGGTGTGCTACACCATTACGTATGAATTACGATGTTTTATTCATCTTCGAAGACAAAGAAAAGTATAACTCCATGCATTCTTAACCTCGGCACTACAAGGAGGAAAACGATCTGCTTCATACGCTGGATTTTAATCCCTGCAAGAAGAAATAAAATCATGGTACCCACTGAATAGAAGGCTGTGGTGGGCCCCAGAACCGGCACAGAACAGTGACGAAGAGATCAATCCCAGCACAGCTGGAATTCGAACTTCGGTCTTCATTTTACTGACTGAACCGTTAAACTATAAATCAATGGTGAAATAAAGGCAGGAGACAAATCGAACTCTGACGCTGAAAACTTGAAAAGGAAACCCATAAAATGGTTTCATGATTCTTTTTTACTAGGTTTTTCCACTTCCGGAAGTAACTCTTTTTATTTCTAGTCGCCACGTGTACTAAATAGACCTCAGTTCTTTGTCCGAAGTCTCCCCACGCCTTATTTTATATAATGTCGGTTCTAAGCAATTGTAGTTTAAGGGAGGGAGACTGTACACTGAGGCATAGTTGGAGCTTTCGCTCGATCTCTTGGCGCTATTCTACAACCACTGCGAGTTACTTCCTCTTGGCTTCTCTGAAGAGTCCGACCTAAAGCTTAACAAATGCCTTGTAATGCCCTGTGATTCTTGTTTCATGCTCACAACAGGAACTTCCAACCGCAAATCTTATTAGAGGTTCGCGGCTCCTTTACTGTAAGCTGTACGTTCAATCTAACGGTAGACCAATAAGGCCGTGTGGACTACTGAAACTCTACATGGGTGAGACCGAAAACTAAATCGTGGTTATTTTACAAGTATTGTATTTCACAGATTCAAGGTATTTGTGCCAAACTACTAACATTATCTGTGAGAAAACTGGTAAGAGTGCAGCATTAATACAGTGATGGTGCATGTAACTTGCAAAGGCAGTGGTGTATTGGCAACGAACATACCGGGAGAGTGGACAGAACTGCTGCTTCATGTTTGAAAGGTCTGAGTTCAATTACTGGCTCGGAGACTGTCTGCCCTCAATACAGTTTTTCGTTAATTTCCTCCGTCTCTATAGAAAATTACCGGGATTGTGTCTTAAAATAAATCACAGCAGATTTCCACCACATTATACCCCTAAATACCAACGTAGTTGAGAAAGCTTCATTCAATGAACGAATAAAAACTGGATTTTGACATGTCACGTTCGTCATGAGTATACCGACTGTGTTCATCTTCGTCAAATAACTACCACGGGGCAACTTATCTGTTGACCTTGGTGCTCCTGTCTCGCATGTCCTGTAGGTACAACAAATTATACAACGTTATTCCCAACTCCTTTCGACACCAGTACGCCCATGGTCTGATGTGAAATAGTATCTGAATGATTAATTATTAGGTTATTCAGCGATGATATTATATTAGGAGGTTCACAGGTTATAAAAAAACGTCAAATGAGATGGAAAGATGATTATGAATAGTGGAATTCGCCAGATAGCCTAAATAAATGCAAGATAACCAACCCGCCCAGGACTCAAACCACATACCTCCATAATTAAACGTCGACAGCGTTGCAGCTACATCAGCATTCTTGGTCATGTGACACTATCCTGAACTTAATCCGAAACAATCGCGTATTCTGTATCTCATACAGCAAAATATTAGTCAAACAGCGGTTAAACGCGAATGCTAGAGTAAGTAAACATTTCCGATCTTCTGAATCGAAGCACTGTTCGCTTCCTCAATCTTTGGCAATTGACATAAATGAAGATGTAAGGTCGCTATCGACATCCTCGTATCGAGTATCGATAGTGTGTGCCAGATTGATTTAGCGAAGGGGTTTCTGGTGCTTTGAGCTGGATCAAGATAACTGAGCTTGAATGAGGAGTACCAGACTTTGAACGAACTAACACGTAAAAGATAGATTCTACAGACTGCCCAGCTTAGTGCGTTTGTTTTGATACGAGATTCTTAAAACTGCAGTTCGTGTTCCGGGGGATATTTTGAACACATTATAGGTTAGGTTTCACAGGACGTATGTATTAATTATCTTCTAACTTCATGGTGCAGTTTAATTGAAAACCTTTTCTTCAGCAGGTTTCGCACCTCTGAAGAATCCGAAATTGTGTCACTGTATTGACAAAGGAGCATCATCAGACCCTATTCAGACACAACCCTTTTCCATCTTTAAATATTTATCTAATACCAAGTTTGATATACTTTCGTTTCTATGTCCATATCTTCGACGTATCTCGTCTTCCCTCCACGTTTATCGACAGATATGCTGGATTCTCCTTTTTCTCTCTCACCCATTCTCTTCAATCAGAAACAAATTGCATTTATATAATGTAAAAGCTAGATTCTGCTGAAAGGGATACATGTTGAACTGGACGAAATGTATAAGAAAGCCATTTTAATAAAATTATTGTTCTGGGCTGATAAAGAAATCCGATACATCTCGAATACAAAGGAATATATATTACATAACAATATTTTGTTTCCACCCTCGTTCAACTCTTTGCATGATAACACTGTTTAATCGGCATTCAAACCCTGTACCGTCCGAGTATAAAAGAGTGGTATATATTATAATAGAACATTTAGGTTTCAACTCTGTTAGTCCCTTTGTCTGTTTGTATAAGCTATGACCGGTATTCGACTCCTGTACCTTTATTTAGTAGGAAAGAATGGTTGCTATTACGTCGCTACATTTCATTTAGACGTCTGGTTGTCTAATTGTGTACGCGTATCAAAAACTGCAAAATTTTAAGATGGTTGCTTAATTTCGTCCTTTATGCAATATCTGTAACTTCTACACCTGACTGGAACAAAGCAGGTATAAAACTCCACAATAATATAAATTGAGGCACCAAATGAATTAAAACTTATAAATGTTTCGGAAAGTCTTCTGTTGAATACATCGAAACAAGAAATATGACCTAAAATAAGGGAAACTGACCACAGAATACCAATTTCTACAAATGTACTGTGTTTTCATCACACGTTTCGCAAACTCAGTGTAAAACACATTTTTCCATGTAAATTATAACACCTTAATCTGAAGTCATTCTCATACTGCATCCACTTTTAATCTTAAGTATATGTTGTTTGATATCTTAAAAACAATTTTAAAACGTCGCAGAGTGCGACATAGGATTAAGAGTGTTTGGATGCAATATGCAGAATGATGGTAGATTATGGTGTCACCATTCATTAAAAAGCTGAGTATAGCACAAGATTTCCCCGTTACAAATCATCTAGCGTACCTCCTTTCTCATTCTGATACATTTATTTCCATCTTTCCACATTTTTACACCATTTATTTAAAATTACAACCATAACAATACAAATCTGTAATATGTTTCTAACATCTTCACTTATCATCTATGGTTACTGATTTGAAAAATTAAATTTGTGACTTTAATGTCTTATTGAATTTATTACAAATGTGTCATTATTATTATTATTATTTTACATTGTAAATTTAAATCAATAACCATACAAACCAAAACATGGCTATTAATTTTTTAACAACTGCATTCATTTTAACACAACATTTGGTTCAGAACGTCGTACAAGACATGAACCTGCGTGGGCTATGCAAGTACGTACCCGAACAAAGAACAGTATAAGGGCTTCTGCACTATATCAATGAAAGGGATGGAGACAGCTGCATTCTCTTTGGGTAACATATTGTGTACGGGACGTTAGTTCGGTCCGCCATTATTACTGGTACTTTCTGACCAGCGGGATGACGCATAGCTCACAGAAAGCTGGAGGATGCGACACAAATGTTTCGGCCGGACACACACAAGCTACTCACGTCCCCTGAAGGAACAGGGTTCTTCTTTATCGACTTCCAAAGATCTACCTACCTTACGAACTATTACTAAGTAAGATATCAAGTGGGTTAAATCATTTCTTGTATGGGTTTTCCCAGAAATGTAAGCAGTTACTCCAACGGCCACAAAATTTTCTGCCTTTGCAGAATCCAAAGGCACATTTCTGTACTCATAGAAGCCAGCATTCTTAACAAATATCTGCCTGGCCTAAGGGAAACAACCATATCTGATATTTTAATAAACATTCAGTAACACAAAATTCTTCCAAATGATATTTAGTAGCTACATAGATAAGCTTTTTAAAAGACAAGAATTAATCTCCTACTAATCGGTAAGACCTTCACAGAAATTCTGTTGGAACTATATTATTCTTTCACTCAGAAACCCATGACCTCAAACAATAAGGCAAGCTGTTATATACGACAAATGCACTGCCTATAACACAGTAATTTATTCCTTAATACAATAACAAACAAACACTTACACTCTTTTCAAAAGTTAACTAATATCCGCACATCAATTCATGTTACGACATATCTATGCCATATTTTCTTTCGAATTCCATATTCATTCACCAAACACCGTCCCCATATGCTAACTCATGTCTCCATATTGTAAATCGTTAATTAATTCTTAAATTAACTCACGTTCTCATTCCAGGGATCTCATTATTTCTCTTCAGATATTCCACTGCTTTCGACATTTCTCATACCAGCCCGTCTACACGTTAAGTCGCCAAACCTTGGCCCTATTCACTCGCGTAATTTTAATTCCTGCGGTGTTCCTGTTTTAAAGAAACGCCCGGAGCAACCTATATTG